AGACGTGGCGACCGCAGCGACACTTGTGTTTGCTCTGAAGACTAATAGTACGCCGTGCAAGCAATACCATTGATCTCCACGACAATTTGCTGGATCGCGTGTCTCCGCTTGGTCGTTGCAGCTCAGGTGCGGCCACCGGATGGCCACCTTGGGACAAAGATTATCAGTCAACCTTTTGGAGCGTCGTGGAGGCTGGGCGGCACTAAGCTGAAGACATGTTTTCTGCTCGTTCGTTGTCATTTACCGAAGAAGTTTGTTAAAACCTCGAACGGTGAGAATTGCGTTTAAGAACACGTGGAAATTTTTACGAAAGCTCAGCACCGCAAGAAAAAGGGGCAACTCGTCTAACGCAAATCTTACCATTCTGGCGGCATGATCAAAGCTTCCTTGGCATGCCAAAGTGCTGCATCTTTGTCTTCGCACGCTTGAATACCGATCAAGAATTAACGCCGTGTGGATTTGTTTCGTGAGTGCAAAGAGCATGAAGATGCATGTGCCTCTGGAGCAGCATTTTACTTTACTCTTACGACTGTATTTGTGACTTGCGGCACTTGCAGTCCAGAAGCGGGCATGATCCAGTGGCGAAAAAGGAGGGGTAGGAGGCTATGGCGACGGCGACAGATTGCACACAACTATATGGACGGGCTTCATACTTTTGCCTTCGAAAACCTACCTTCTTCCACAGCATTGCTCTATTTGTGCTGTCATGTGATCCATTTGAGTAGATTTGGAACATAGCCATGGTTAATCCATAATAGCAACCACCGATTTCGTTTCCTATTGATAGCAACTCGCTGGAACAGCTGGGTGATAGAGAAGACGCCTATGTGCGACATACCTTCAAAGCTCTGCCATGGCATTGATTCTTGATAAGTATCCAAGCGTGAAAAGGCACAGAGACGCAGCAGTTTGGCAGGCCAAGGAAGCTTTGATCACGCCGCAAGACCGGCGAGACTCGACGTTCGACAAGCTGTGCCTTTTTCCTGCGGTGCCGCGCTGTTGCAAAATATTTTATGCGTTTTCAAAGGAAATTCTTATTGTTTACACATTGCGAGCGTTTGGCGCTCCTTTCACTAAACAGAGGGGAGCGCCGCCGGAGACTGACACTCGAGCGTGCTCTTCGTGCTCCGAGCATTTCTTGGAGCACAAGTGACTTCTTTGCGCTCCGTGATGTCACGTCCACAAACAAGATGGCTGTGCCAATATTTGAGATTGTTGAAACAAAAGGCGTAGCCGGACAGCTGCTCTTTTTCAGTCCATTAGTGGTTAATCCAGCAGGTAAAAACAATTTGATTTGAAAGCCAAGACAGCAATTAGCATTCCGGAAAAGGTTTGTTTATGTGCCTTGCCTGAGAACAAAGTGATCTATCGAACGAGCGTGCTGATAGCTCGGCGACAGAAAAGTTGCCGAGAAGACAGTGGGACGGCTGCCCTTTTTAAACTGCTTAGTCCAGCTGCAGCGAATAAAGATACTTAGATTGGAAAGCCGAAGCATCAGTTAGCATTGCGGGAAAGGTTTGTTCGTGCATCTCGCCTGAAAACAGCTTGCACGGTCAATAAATAGATCAGCCAAGGTGCCTTTCCCCGCACGTGCTCGAAGCGAGTCTCCAAACCTCTCAGAAATACTTAAACGTTTGTAGAAACTTCATAACGTCGCCGTCTCTTTTACTTTGTACCCTGCCGCTCTACACTGGCTTTAATTAATTTACCACCGAAATAATTTTGGCTTCTCCCACCCGTATCCACGGGATGCCAGGTTCGTCATAACCGTGCGGTGGGAAGGAGCTTGTGCGGCTCGTCAATAGATTTGGTGTGTACGCCATGCACCGTTTAGTTGCTGTGCCTGGAGTATGAAACTCGGAGCGTCAGAGTAGGAGTAAAGGAGTGTGGACTTAAAGGGGAGCTGCAATCATACTTAAGCGTCTACCTCTTTTGCGGTTTCCACGTCTCTTTGGGTTCGGGTAAGCCAGCGGGCACGGAGAGAATAACTAAATATCAGTGAGTCATATTTTAACCGGACGACGCGGAAACCTCCTCCACCTACGAGGGCGACCCGCGTTGCCGAAAGCGCGGAATATGTGACGTCTTTGGTCCTCGGCTTACTACTGGTCAGAGCCGCTAAAAGCATTTTTTTTAGTCGATACAAAATATAAGTGTCGCGAACCGTTTCAATTATGTACGAAAGTAGTTTTTGTTCAGTATTTTAGATCAGAAAAGAAACAAATGCAGTTTATAAAGTACGGAAACAAGAAAAGACGCGTCGACAAACCCGCCACCAAGCGGTGAAAAAAACGGCGCATACTAGAAAGGCGTAGTGGGATGAGGCTCCGACGAACAATGGGCTTAGAAAGGTCCCGGATGTACGCGGTGGCGCTGCGGTCGTATACCGGCTCGAGGATCCGACCGGTTCCGAGCGTTCCCAAGGCTTTCGGCGCAGGCTTGGCTGGCGATCTGACCCTTTGGCGGTATGGCAGCGCGAAGTGGCTCCCGTTCTGAACTGATCTTTACCCCGTGTTTGCCGTCGTTTGTGGCCAATGAAGTGTTATGCCGAATTAGTCTTTAATCGCGCGGCAAATGCAATGCGAGCTGCCCTGGCCGCCCGCTTCATACAGCCTAGTCAACACATGCTTTAGTGGCACCCTCTCGAGCCGTTGACACTGAGTGCGGCAGCCGTGAGCGCTCGATGAGCTCACTACTTCACGGCCACTCAAACCAGGACCTACGACGTCATGAAGGATGTTATTTTTTGCTTGTTTCTGTAAGTCTAATTTGCCTATAACTTTTAAAATAAAGCGAAATTTGAGAAAAGAAACGTTTCTTTAAATTACTACGTTCAATGCGCTCAGGTTCGGTCCAAATTAAAAACCAGTCGAAAAGTTATTGCAGGGCCACTTTAACGCTCCCAATGACGACAAACGAGCAAAAAACATGTCTTCAGCACGCTGCCGGCCAGCCTCTGCAACGCTCCAAAAGGTTAATTTTCCATGTCCCAAGATGGTCGTCCGGCAGCCGCAATCACGGAACGGGGAAGCGCAATTTAGCAATTGTCGTAGAGATCAGTAAAAAAATATGGAACGCATACCCTCCTAGCATCCATCAGGTAGGGATAAGCATTCTGTGCAGCCTATATGCCCATCAGTGTCAACACATGTAGCCATTTGCAGGCAGTCGCATCCTTTCGAAGATCAATCTGGCCTTCGTCAGGCACCAGCTTTCGCTCTCAGCACACAGCCACTGTTGGTGGGCTTCGAGGCTGCTCGCATCTTCACCCTCCACAGGCGGGGCAGCCCCGGTCTGTAAATGTAGAATATGAATATGGCAGGTATTATTTGATAACACTTTATGTTTTGGCCGTGTAAAGAAAATCTGCATTCCATTTTCTAACATATCTGTTATGAAATAACAAGGTCAGGTGGAACGGCTCGAGTTCGCTGACTGAAAGACAGAGGGCTTAGCCTGAACCAATATCCTAGCAGCCTTCGATATTGGTGTGGAGGGAGAGAAGGCTGAACCTCTAAAGATGTCTTCAAATGATTCTCTAATTGCTTAACTCCAAAGTTTCAGGCTGCTGCACTTCAATGTTCTGAACTTTTTCCAACATATATTTGCGCTGTCGCTAACCATGTTCCATTTGCCAATTTTTTACACGCCCCTTCTCCTCCAATCAGAACAGCACGAGAGTCCGCCGTGAACAGACTTGGCATCATCGTGTGTCATATATCCCCGATGATTGCCCATTAAAGCCAAGGTTCGAGCACAACAAAGTAGAAATTTGGGCTAGTTGGTTCATGATCAGTATATACAGCGCCAAAAAACGACAGGACAAAGACGAGAGTAAACAGGACGAGGCGCACTCGCAACTAAAGTTTAGTTGCGAGTGCGCCTCGTCCTGTTTACTCTCGTCTTTGTCCTGTCGTTTTTTGGCGCTGTATATACTGTTCGAGCACAAGCTCATAGCATCGCTAGATGGTCGCACTGCACGAACCCTCGTGCAGCCTGAGTATCTACTAGTACTGTTAAAAGCGAGCGAGTTGAAAATGAGTACTTAAAATCTAAAGAATAAAGCGCGAGGGACAAGCCCAGGACAACCACGTAAAGCCTGGTTCAAACAGTTGCGTTTGACCGCGTTGCGGCTGCGAGAAACCAGGACATCCCTGCTGCTTATATCGCGTGCCAAGATGATTCTTTGAATTGGAATCCACGCTTCATACGAAGCACAGATGTGCCGGTGACTCGTTTTCGGTTCTAAACGCAACGCAGACAAACACACTCAAACGCAAGTGTCGGAACCGACCTTTACGGTACAGGCTCACAGTAAAGCTGTGAGCCCGAACCGTCTCGCACGTCCAGCCTTCGCTTTAGTACATCTCAGGACGAGACGGAATGTATCACAATAGAACCGATGTGGTCTCACCATTCTGAGCAGAAGTCCGTGAGTAACCGATGCTATTTTCGTGGTCGCTTGCACGTAAACAACCAAGGAGCTTGTACACAACGCCGGCATTCATCTGGCTTGAAAACAACTTGAGCGTTGGCTTGGCTTGGATGTCAGCTGCCCATTGTGCTTACTTGAACTTCACGAAATCCTCTAAATTGAGCAGGCTGCTTCTTGACTTCTGCTGTCGGCGCGTATTTCTGCAATTCGGCGGTTTCCGAGTTCGACGATTCGGAAATCATGGGTGTACCACCGCAACACCCTCTTAACACGATTTCGGTAGCCGTAGGGTGTAAAAAGGATGTACGAAGGGTGTAGGCCTTTCCGTACACCCTTGAATATTCAAAAATCATGTAAAAATGGTGTAGGAAGGGTGTGAGCTCGGAAAAACACCCTTTTAACACGAAAATGGGTGTTGAAATTTTTAGTGTGTGCAACATGAAACGCAGTCTCTTGCTGCGGCTGAATGAGTACTACGAAGCCTTCTATACTGGTTCCCACGTGACGGCTACAACATTGTTTCGCCTGTTCTATTTCTTCGGGGGAAAAAGAAAGTTGGCCTCACCTTGTGATAGACGGGTGATGGGATGGACTGCAAGGTGGCGGTGGTGATCCAGGTGATGGAGATGAGGAAGTAGGTCACCATGAGGTTCACGTGGATGGTGTTACGCAAGCAGCGCAGGTCTCTGGCGAGAGAAAACAAGAAAGCGACGCAGGAAGTGTAAAGCGCGAAGCACACGTACGACGAAACCGTCCGATCCGACGTCCGACCGCGCAATACGACGGTCGGAGGCGAGGGTTTTCCACGCTCTCCGATGCTACGAAAACCCTCTCCCCCCTAGGTCATTCCGGCAGTCCGCACGTCGGATCGGACGGTTTCGTCGTACATGTGTTTCGCGCTTTAGTGCGGCAATCAGAAGCTTCACTCTAAGAAACCTTGAGCGTTCACATCTCCGCAAAGCACTTGTAAGAGTCAATCGGAAAGATCTCCGCAGTAAGCTCGACGAATAAAGACGTCCGAAAAACGTTTCAACATAATTAGGAAGTCCGCGACGTGACAGACAGATTAAAGTTCGACATGCTCTCACGTAGCTTTACAACGCAGCTTAAGGCCCGTTCACACTCTTGCAACCGAGTACGACCGAGAGAGACCAGACCGGTTTTTAAGCCTTTTGCGACTTCTTAGGACCGGATCCGCTGCACCGGAGCTGGTCCTAAGAAGTCGCAAGAGGCTTAAAAACCGGTCTGGTCTCTCTCGGTCGTACTCGGTCGCAAGAGTGTGAACGGGCCTTTACCTTTTTAGGTCGGAATAATTTTCTGATCTCGTCATTCGTCGAGCATGCGCACTCCGTAGATCGCTGTGATCGACTCTCTCGGGTGCTTTGCGGGAAAGGAGACACGTCAGATTTTTTTATAGTGTGAATATCGAGATTAGGCGATGTGCGCTTATGATTGTACTGTTAACATTAAAGGTCGTACGTGATTCGAGTCGAATAATGCTGCGTCATTGATATTCTTTAAAAGTGTCAAAAGAAGCCACAACCATAGCCCCTTTTATACTCACAAAGCCTGCGAGTTCGACGACGGAGCCGTATAGTGCCAGGTCGCAGATTTGGAGCGCGAGGATCTGGTCGCACAGATCATCAAAGAGCCGTTCCTCGGGGAACCTTAGGAGAACCTGGACGTCAGCGCACAGCTTTTGCAGCGGCGAGGGCCCGAAACACACTTGTTCGCTGGCGAGAAGTGTGGTTCGGCGTCTCGCCGCAGCGGGGCGCCAGTCACGTGGCTCTCGTCTCATCCGTTGTCTGCCGCTCCACCTTTTTCATTTCGGCGGCCGCTTCTCGTGGCGATCTGCCAGGCTTTGTCAGTATATAGGAGGCTATGCCACAACATACCGACCTTTTTAACAGTGTGCGCTGAAGCTAGAGAGTATGCTGCGCTATTCAATTCGAGGCAGTAGCTGCATGCCCGTAATGATATTGGCACACACTGCATAATAACTGCTCAATACATTTACAAAAAAAAAAAAAAAACTGAAAAACAAACAACGTCGGCGGGCTACTGTTTTTGCAGAAGAGTCATTCAATCACGCTGAACAATAGAAGGATGCCAGTGAGTCGTGAGGTCAGAATGCTATTTCTCAAGACCGCCCCACACACACGTATGAACAAACAAACAAACACACAAACAAACATACAAACACACACACACACACAAAAGCGATGTGCGAAGGGCAAGGGATATGACGTTTCACTTGCTAATTGTTCCTGCGTATTCGTCGGATTTTTTCGAGTCTAATTTTATTCTGAGCTCGTTCGTTCGCTGGAATTGTTCCACGATTCGCACTAATGAAACGCCTCTCCGTTTTGTAGTGAAGTGAACTCACAGACGTTTTCGGGAGTGCAGGATGACAGCTACGCTCGCACCCCGCTTCACGACGAGGAGCTATAGCGCCATCAACAATCGCGCTACACCGGCTACGTCTAAAACCCGATCACATTTCTATCAGTTTGGGCAGCTGTTGTTCAATTATCGTGCTGAGCGTTTAAATTAAGCCGAGCCTTTAATATATAGAAATAGGCTGGGAACAATAAAATTAATTTCTTGAGAAAAATACGGTGCTGTCTGTACAGCCATTCAGTTTGACGTGATATTAGGGCCGTGGATATTTGGAGACACTCGTTGCTTAAACAGCAACGAACGGTACGAATTTTAGAAGAGGCAGAATACATTTAAATGAAAATGAGGGTATATACTTTTTTTTTTTTTTGCTATTTAGGAAGATATAACGTTTTGTCTCCGTTTTGTCCAAACTCAATTATCTACCGGTGCTTAGGACCTTACAATGTTTTTTTAGCGAACTTCTATTTTCATCCTCCGCTTGACGATGATATTGTTAAACACAACACGTTAATTTAATTTTGTTTTGCTTTATTGTACAAAAGTTCAAAATAATTAACTGCACGCTGGAGGATCTTATAAGAGTCTTTGCTTGATGAAGAACTATTAAATATTCCATTAGAAAAGTGGAAAGAAAATAATTGCAGGCTCGCTTTTATTTTTCTTAGGTTTAAAAATATATTCCCAGGCCGATTGGCAGAGTGCACTACATATAAACCAATTTTAGCATTTGAGAAGAGTTGAGCGGCACTCTTTGAACAACTAGATTAAAGTATTGCCCGCTGGACAAAATGATGGAATGTGCAGTATAATAGGGAACATTCTTTAATAGGAGGCACGGATGGTTTTATGAATAGTGAATTAAGTTTGTTTCGTTCATGGCAGCGGCTAGTTGTTCTCAGCAAATTAATTAATAGCCTTCTGTTAATCTTGCGTGTGTGTGGTCTTATAGAGATCCAATTTTTCAATTTCCGACGATAAATAATAATTGTGAAGTTATTACGAATAAAAAGAGACTGTATCTTGCATATATTCTTTTTCAGTAACCTTTGTTTTGATCGAGAACCAGCAAGACCCTCGACTGTTATAACTATTTACATATAAACTGGGGGAAGTTCCAGCAGTCCACATTTTATTTCTAGGATATCGGTTTTTAAAGGCACGCCCAACTCTTTAGCGTGCCACTAAGATATCTTCTTAAATGCATCTGCAGCTACCATCAAAAGAAAGTATTTCAGAGTTGGCGTCTTTTAATATTTGATTGAAACATCTGAACTTAACCCCCCCCCCCCCCCCCCCCTGAAAAAAAGAAAAAAAAAAGAAAAAAGAATAGACTCCCTCCTTCTTAAAGGCCGACGATGAGACTCGAGATCCTGCAAGGCAAAAGCTCTTCCTCACCATGAGGGAGGAGGAAACAGGCAACGGTGAACTGGGTAGAAGGGGGGAGAGGAGGAAGCGGGGGAAAAGTGGAAAGCGCGAACCGGTCGTCGGTCTTTAAGCCAAAAACAAACAAACAAAAAAGAATCATGTGGAAAAGTCCAACTGAGAAAAGAAATATTAGATCTTGAAATCAATAGTTTCGAGGGCAGGTCCGTCACAAACGAAAAGGAGAAACACATGTTGGCTCAGATTCCATTGCCGTTCTCTCAAAATAATATTTGAGCCGTCTCGGACTTTCACGATTGCATGCATCGTTCTCGCCCCCCCCCCCCCCCCCCAAAAAAAAAAAGTATATATATTAAAAAAAAAAAAAAAAACTATCCGGTCAAGCACGGCGTAGATGTTGCAAACCTTTAGAATTTAGCCGCAAAAGGCTTTCCCTAAACGTACCCTCAGGGAAGTTGGTATTGCGGAAAGTGTTTGCAAAGTCTTTGAAACCATCCCCGCAAAGAAATGTTTTCATTTCTTAGGAAAAAGGTAAATCTTCCTCAATCCTTTAAAGTCGTTTCCCTTTTTCCTACGGAACACGTCTTAGCGTCCCTTTCTTTCACCCTAATATTTTAGACATGTGGGAACGAAAGCACGCGTCCTTAGAAAATAAACACGGGTCCGCGGTATAACGTTAAACAGACAAACATAAGAAAAGTGTAAAGAATGTTACGAAATAATTTTCCTCCCGTTTAACGCCAAAGAACAGTGCCAGGCACCTGTGTGCTGGAGGTTACTACACTTTTAGAAATTCCCGAGACGACTATACCCACATGCACGGGGAACGACGATCACTGGTCTTTCTTTCATTACTTTAGTCAATGAGAAGGACGATCGGAATCACGCCCCAGTGGTAGCGGGGTTTCATCGGTCAAAGAACGCGTTCACCCCCGTTGCCATGGGGACGAGTTGTCGGCACCGAAGTGTGATACCGATGGCCTTTTTAGTTGGTTCAACTGACTAAAGAAAGACCGATTATTGTTGTTTGGCGTGCAATGCGGCGCAGTATAATTTCTTAAAACGCTGAGCGCGTTCTGAGCTCCTTCTACATTGCCATGATATGGTCTTTATCGAAGTGCACAGTTCCAACAAAAGCAGTCAGCTTCTTAAAGGCAAGGTGTGGCTTTTTATAATTCGGCCTTCTTATACGACCATCTGATTGGCTGTGGAGTGACCATAAGCCTATCACGACTCGCCACGCCAATCGTTTCTCAAGCTGCCGGTGACCACGGGAGAGTGCAACTTGCACAAGGTATCTTTTGTCTTCAACGGCAGTGCGACGCCATTTGTCTGCGGAGTTGTGTCGCTCACCGGCCTTACGAACTCACTTGTAATATAGGAATATCCACAGGGCGATGGTGAGTGCGCAGAGGGACATGCCGTACCCTATGTAGTAGATGGTGGTGCCGTCAATCTGCGGGAACAAAAGGAGCAAAAGCGACTCTTATGGAACTGGTAAGAAAATGAAAAGTGCACTCGTTTACAAACTAGAACCTTAAAATATCGATGGCTATAAGAAACAAACGCTCTAATTTATAGAAAAAGTATCGTCTTAACCTCGCTACCAGTCGCTATCATATCAAAAAATTACCAAACGTTTCTAACTCTCTTAATCTCTTTTCTTGAAACAACAACAACAACAAGGACAACAGCAACAGCCACAAATACAAAAGCAAAAAAAAAAAAAAAATCACGTATTATTTGGTCGTAGTCACGCTGGAACTCGTTTTTTTTATTGTTGTTACTATTTTTTTTTATTAACGTTGGTGTGGAGCGATTGAAATCTTAATTCTTTTCTTGCCATTCAGTATTTTCCTCTTTTTCTATTTTATTTCTACTCTCACGTGTTTATTTTTTTTGCATCAATTCCCCTTAATGAAATATCCGAAAAAACGCTTAGGGTAAATAAACGAATAAATAAATAAATGCTAGAATGGTTTCTACCCGAAGAAGGGAAAGCTTTTGATTGGTTGGGTCTTAGTTATATTTATGTAGTTTTTCTTTTTAAATTGTCCGCACCACGTGTCATGATTTAAAATTGGCCCTCAATGTCTACGAAATAATATAGAAATATACAAAATGCAACATCAAGTAGAGTATGCATCGAAAGAAGTAACGTTTAAAAGAAAAGAGCTTTTCAGTTTTAATTACTGACAAATTCTTAGAAGATGTGTCAAAATCGGAGGGGCATTATCTCTAGGCTCTATGTAATTAAGAGTCACGCGTGTTACTAGTTTCCAGGTATTTCTTAAAATGGTTCATTAAATAAGTCCTCCTGGGCTCGTACAATCTGCCTTAATGGGACGACTAGGTGACTCTTTATGAATTAATATTACGTTATATTTTTATTCAGCGAGCTATTCATGAAACTATTAGCCATGAGTGCAATGATCCTGGTTTCCTGAGTTAATGGTTGACACGAACTCGCTATTGTACACAACTAAAATCGATGATTATTGATGTACAGTCGGCATGAGAACACAGACCCGCACCTAGAATGGAGGTAAAACGTCATTTCAGACAACCGAAGGCAAGGCTCACAAACGAACAACGGACGTCAGGACGTGATTAAATAAAGGGAAGGTACCGTCGCGTTCGATGCGAGCTGAAACAATCTTTCACGCTTCTTTGACGTACCTGCCGGATCTTGTTAGGGCCGTGATTCCAATTAGAAATGAGGTGCGAAGTTGAGGTCGCACACTTGGGACTATTTGACAAATGGAGAGCTTATAGAGATTGCGGTTAACGCAGACGAAGAAAAAGGCAAGATCGGGTGTTTCAGGGGATAGCACCCGTGCAGGAGCCTTCTGATAGTGCATGCAGTATCAAGCGGTAGAAAGAAGACTCTAAAGTACTATAATGCAGGAAATGCAGTATTTAAGAAGCGATCGTTCGAATCCTTTCCGAAGACATTAAACAGTCGTTACTGGGAGTGAAGAAAGACCTATTTATTTTAAAATAATTTTCACGCCGAATCTAGCGGGGAAACTGAATTAACGTATCGGTCCCGTGACGTCAGGTCATATAACATCAGCTTCCCGTTAAATTTAACTGGGAAACTAAAAAAAAAAGTGACGTCGGGGAACGTCCTGGGTAAAACCAGCTGAACAAAGGAAGGAAGGTGACAGGGTGACGGGGAACGTGACGTCATTTTTCTCGTTAAATTTAGCGGGGAAACTAGACTGGTGTGTAGATTACGTGGCGACCAGGGCGCGTCGATTTCAACGCTAAATTTTGCGCAAAATGTTCGGACTGGTGGACTAAATTTGTGGATTTCAGGCTTTGAGAGGAACGAAATTCCGACGCCAAGGATGCAGCCTGGAGCTCACCGGTCTCTCGACCTCGTAGACGGGGATGCAGTTGGAGTAGTCGGACCTCTCAGCCCAGCTGCCGTTGGACGAGCAGAGCCGAGAAGCGTTCTCTGCAATGGACGGGAGAAAAGAAAAAAGTGAAAGCCGTTTACAAATCCCTGTAACGCCGAATTGGAGCGCAGCTCTTGAGGAGGAGGGGTCACGTGACCTTGGGGTCACGTGACCTTGGGGAGGAGACCACGTGACCTCGGGGGTCACGTGACCTCAGAGGGGTCACGTGACTTGGGGGTCACGTGACCTTCAAAGGGTCACGTGGGTCTTGGGGTCACGTGACCTTGAGATGACCTTGGGAGGGGTCACGTGACCTCGAGGGGTCACGTGACCTTGGGAGTCACGTGGGGTCACGTGACCTTGAGATGACCTTGGGAGGGGTCACGTGACCTGGAGGGGTCACGTGACCTTGGGGGTCACGTGACCTTGGGATGACCTTGGTTACGCCGACGGCGACGCCGACGGCGACGGCGACGGCGACGGCGACGGCGACGGCGACGGCGACGCCGCTCAAGCCGGGAACGGGCCCCTAAGAGCTGCGCTCTAAAAGCACGCAGCTAATGAAGCTTGTGTAGACACCTGCGCCCCTTGTGGGGTGGCAGAAGGCCCGCTAAAGAAATTTCGGGGAGGGTGTGGTGGTGTAAGAGAGAAGCCAAGGCGTAGACCGGTTGCGATACCTTATATGCATAAGGTGAGCCACAGAATAAAGAAAGTGGGGCAGAAACATGGGGTCCCTGTACTACTCTCAGATCCCTTAACAATTTGGCAGACTATGTTGAAAAGTAGGACGAGGGGCGCTACACTATGCAGTATGTGAGAAGAAACATGAGACCAGCTTTGTGGAGTGCAGCGAAGGCGTGGTATAGAATATTAATTTATCGTGCGGTAGAGTATACATAGGCCAATCGGGTCGTTGTATAAATGACAGGCTCAGGGAACATGCACTGTAATAAGATCGCCACCTTCCGGGGAATCCGGCAGCACACTGTACCACATGTGGGTGTGTCCCGAAGTTCGATAACATCTTAGCCAGAAACCGAAACAAAGCAACGAGGGACATATCCGAAGCGTTCTTCATATCGGAATGCGTTGAAGGAGCGTGTGTCAGCGCTCCATCGATAGCCCTGTTTGACTCACAAGTGGCGTTTTTAAAATCTTTCGAAAAGTAAATAACAAATAGATAACCATCGGTTTGATGATTTCCCATTCCTGTAACCAGATGTCTTGATTTCACTGCGTGTATATATGTCAACCATTTCGTCGTTTACCCTGAGACTGGTTTTTTTTTTAGAAGAGCAGAAGTAACAGAAAAAACAGACAGGTCTCAGGGTTCTGTTACTTCTGCTCTTCTAAAAAAACCACAGTCTCAGGGTAAACGACGAAATGGTTGACTTCCACCAGCTAGCCTGTACTTTGACTCTTTTCTCGTGTATATATGTGTCTTTTTATGAGTATACTTCAGTCGCAAGTAGCGCTCTGGGGTGTTGGTCTCTTTCACTTGTCCGTTGTTTTCTTACCGCTTTTACCCTCTGAAAGGCAGCTTTCTTCGCATCTAGACATCAATCATTCCAGTCAGAGCTCAGTGTTCTGCCGTCTTCTCCTCTTCCTCAGTTGTCACCCGCATATCATTCGGAAATAATGGCATGATTCTCTTATCATCCTCATGCGGGAGTATCAGCGCGGTGTCACCCGCAAATCGAAAAATCGAAGATTTCTGTTTTTGCTTTTTCAAATCATCGATGGATATATTGAACAAAAAAGGGTCCGTCAACAATCTTTGTGCTGTTCCATATTTCCTTTGTACTGGTTTACTCGACACGGTATTTACTTTGGCAGATTGCGATCTTTCTACGAAATAGTTAGTAAAATATTAAAAAAAAAAAAATGGTTCTCTAAATCCCTTCGCTTCCATTTTCCCGGGCATTTTTGAATTGCCAATCGTATCTAATTCCTTGGATAGGTCCAAAACAGAGTCACTGAATGTTCCCACAGCTCCGAAACTCCCAATCTTCGTTTCAGAACCGTGTCTCAGCGCAGCAGTCGCGCTCCACCTAGGGTGCCTTCATACACTTTCGCCACGTCTGCCTTACCGCTCATTCACACTGGAAGCGGATCCGCGTTCGCAAAGCGGTTGCGAACGCGGTTGTATAAGGATACAGTGCAATCGCACGCGCACCCGATGACATCAAGTGCACGTGCAATTGTACTGAATCTTTATACAACCGCGTTCGCAACCCCTTTCCGAACGCGGATCCGCTTCCAGTGTGAATGAGCGGTTAGGGTGGCGGCATCTCGGCCATTTCTATGCCCAGAATGCACGCGCTTCGATCTCGTTCCGAGCGAGCGCTTAGCCCTGCCCGGTGCTTTGGCGCCATTTTAAGGCCCATTCGGCACGCGCAGGCAGTTTTCAATACAAAAATGGGTGTACCCTATGACAGCTCCACCCCGTCCCCAATGTGGCGCTGCCCCGTGCGGTCGAAGCGCGTATACAGTGTAGCGTTCGTTGTCGTGCGGGCTCCTCAATCCCCTTTCTTCCTCTCTGGTTACACTGGTTTGTTTTTAATAAGGTTCTTTTCTTCGTACCGAGCGGTGCGCGACTTGCTCCTCGCTGTCTCGTCTCGAAACACATCGAAGTCGAGTGTTAGGCTTAGCGTCTGAGACGTGGAGTTTGAAGCGCAGCACCAGCGCAACTGAAGCGAGCGAACGAGTCTGCAGGCGAACCAAAGTAACGGCTTTTTAATAATAGAAAAAAAAAACGAAAAAAATAACGCACCTTCCGTTCGGTCCTAACTCATCGATGCCCGGAGCTCCCACCCGTGGCAACGCGAGAACGTTTTATATACGTTTTTTGTTGTTTTGGAATCCATTCCCAAAAATGGTCGACTGATAATTTCCGCCACGGGCTAAACCAGCCAATCAGAACTGGAATTTGTGAGATCGACTTCCGGTAGGCGGAATGAATGGACTTCGGCACTCTGGGAACATTCAGGGACTATAATGCAATTAAATGCAAAGGTGTAAGCGAACTGAACAAGAATGACGGAAATAATTCCTGGAGAAGGGGAACAAGAAGGACAAAGGACTATGTTTGGAGATTTGTGTTTCTCCTTTGTCCTTTTTGTTCCCCCTTCTCCAAAGATTATTTTCGTCATTTAGTGACTCTTGTCCAAAAATAAAACCATGGCAATCTTATTATCATCTAATGTCTCGCTAACAACGTAGTTAAAATTCTCGAGCAGTTCAGTGGTACCCATATATTTTTGAAACGCATATTGCGATTTCCATATTAAAGAAAACTTGTCACAAAAAGTACTCATTATATTGACCTAAAGTTTTTCAATAATATGAGCAATTACTGTGATACATAAGAAAAGTCTTCAATTACCGATTTTATTATACTTCTATACCTTTGAAGTGTAGTACGGCGTACAATAGTGTGTTCTAGTTTTCGTAAATTATTTGTTTCAAATATCAATTTAAAAATGGCAACCAGAACGTATTTTATTATCTTGAAGTTCGCAGAAAGGTTTCTTATGCAAATTTAATCAATGCCAGCCCGTTTTCTTATTGACATTAAACTTATTATTTTACGTAGATATTGTTCAGTCATGATAGGTGGAGAGATTGAGAGATATATAATTTTATTAAGTGCCTGCCAACAGTCAAGTGGCCTGGGCGGCAGTGTACTGTCCATTGAGTGAATACATAAGATAAATGCATGTTTTTCGAGTAATAAAATCAAACAAAAATGTCATTATCTAAAAACAAGGCCTATAGGTTTGTTGCAGTCGTGTCATCGGACAGATTGATCGCACATTAAGATACAAAGTGTCTTGGCAGCTGGGTGACCGCTCAGAGGGCACACGGAACTTCAAGGCCATGGGCAACTTTGAGCAGTCAATAGCAGCATGCACAACCTGATGTTAAAAGAGCATTCGTTTTCCAAGCGGTTTGTTGACGGCATTTGATTTTGTTATATCTCATCTCTAAGTTCTACTTCTTTTATAAAACTGCTATTAAATGGCGGGGTCTGTTGTTTTACCGTTTTTGTTTTGTTGCTGTATCATCAACGCTCGTTTTTCTTTTTGCCTCACCAGTTAGCTGTTTATTCAGTACGAAGAAAGCAAACCACTAACGGAAGACAGGGACAGACATGTACAAGCTTTCTGTTTAAAACAATTAGCCGAACACGCTCGTCAAACTTATCAGTTAGCTGGCTCACCGAGTTCCAGGTTTGTTAGCGTAGCAGTTTCGCTTTGCAATCTTGATACTTGCGTTAACTTTATTCCGTATTGAACGGCATTACGTTTTCAGAAGAGTATTTCTAGAGTTTTTCTATCACCTGGTGCACAGTTTATGTTCATGTAACGCAATTCCACTATATCTTCGTCATACATAATATAGGTAGGACAGCGCCGAACGACAAAAACTAGTAAGTTACAGGTCAAGAAGGTAGCGGCAAATGCCACTCAAAGGGAATCATCTAACCCTCCGCCACCTCCGCATCCAATAGCGTCCAATCGTTTCCGTGACGTCATGGCCAACGCGCGAGGAGGGTCGTGCCTTTCTGTACATATTTGCTTTATCTTTTGACTTTGACTTAGCATTGTGGAAGCCACGAGAGGGAGATTAGAGTTTACCCCCTCCGATGGAAACAAAGACCACCTTTCGGGGATTAGATTCCCCCTCCGATGGAAACAAAGGCTGCTTTCAGGGGCTCGGTTCCCTTTCCAATGAATACAAAGGTCGCTATCTTGGAAAGTGGGATCGGAGACAAGTTGGAATCCATTGAAGTCGTACTTTTTTTTTACTACTCTTCTTGAGGTGAAAACGAGTATTTCTTTATTTACTTAAATTCCTCTAAAGGACCGTAGAGGGGCATTACATAGAGGGGGGATACATGTAACTTTTACATAGTCGCAAATGTTGTAAAAAATATAAAAAAGGGACACAAAACAACGCTAAATAAAGCTTAACGAAGGATAACGTGACTGCTGGTCACGCACACACACACACACACAAAAAAGTACAGGTGGTGTTCAAGAGTAAAAAAAAATAA